CCCCCCCGAATACACTAAATCACATTAAAATGTAGAGGATTTATTATTTAGTTATTATTTAAAAGTATGGGCACGGCGTGGCAGTACCGCACAGACATATAATGGCAGCCCCCCCGCCAGGGAACACATCCCCCCCCCGAGCAAGAAGTTGTCAGCTACGGGCCTGAGTGAGCACAATGTGATGCTTGGCATGAAAGGTACGTTAGAGCCTCTCAAATCCCTGCACCTGGAGTTCTCTGTTCCGTCGATCCCGCGGTGAAGATCAAGCAGGCGGGCCTTCCTCCTCTGCCTCCCCTGCCGTGTACGACTCCTCCCTCCAAAGCTGCACGAGGCCCTCTGCCGCAGTGAGCAAGCACGCCTCAGTTGGGTGGAAGGAGAGAGACTGGACAGCACTGTTACTCACAGGTAAGCTCGTAGCCAGGGATCCCTACGATGAGGAAGAAAAGTTGCAGACATTAGGAAGACAAGAACTCTGGAGGATGTACACGCCCCGGTCCCTCTGCCACCAGCCCTGGAGCATTGACCTCATGCATAGTCCACCTTTCTCCCGGAGACTCAAATCGAGAGTCCCATCTACACTGTGGTTGCCATTGCTTACAAGCTAGAAGAGGTCACCACCCGTTAATGCTGCAAGAAGAAGAGGAGATTGGATTTATACCCTGCCCTTCACTACCGAAAGGTGTCTCAGAGCGGCTTACAAACTCCTTTCCCTTCCCCTCCCCACAAGAGACACCCTGTGAGGTCGGTGAGGCTGAGAGAGCTCTGACAGGAACTGCTCTTTTTCAAGGACAGCTCTTGTCAGAACTATGGCTTGCCCAAGGTCATCCAGCCAGGTGCAAGTGGGGAATCAAACCCGGTTCTCCCAGATTAGAGTCCGCGCACTTCACCACGACACCAAGCTGGCTCAACATGGCAAAAGTGGACCCAGGACACACAACACTATCACCTCTCTCTTTCCTCTATAATTTTACAGGATGGAGAGGCAAGCAGAGTCATTGTTACTGCTGAACAAGCAAGTTTGGGAAGGAGCATCCAAGTTTGACACATTCAAAGGACAAGGAAAGAAATGTCTAGCAACAGAAGAGATGCACGCTTGTGCATGAGCCTCACTGGAGACAGAAATGTCATTTGCCCTGCATCGATCAGAACTGTGCCTTTGGCAAGGCTTTACCCACAATGCAGTGCTTTGTAACCCGACAGGTGGATGACAGGCAACTCCTAGGATTAAAAACATTCTGCACCAACTCTGCTGCCAGCCTGCTTCTGTTGTTAGCAGCTCTCCCAAGACCAGAGGAAATTTGGGGGGGGATCGCAGTTCCCCCGGGTGAGGTGCGGGGGGCGGGGCACATGACGAAGCCCCGCCCCCTGCTTCCGGCCACCCCATTTCCGGCCCTCATTCAGCCAGGAGGAGGCAGGAGAAGAGGGAGGGTAAGTTGCTTCCTCCCTGCCTCTCCCCACCCCTGCCTGCCTGGGCCCAGGGAGGGCCTTTGCGGGGCTTCCTTGCACTCCCGCCGGCCTTGCAGGTCCACCGCCGGGCCCCTCATGGGGCTTGGCAATGGAGCTGGAAGGCCGGTGGCGGCGGCTGGGACCGTTGGGGGCGGGGTGCGTGGCCTTATGACACACTTCCGGTGATGTCAGGGGGTGTGGCCTTATGACACACTTCCGGTGATGTCAGGGGGTGTGGCATATGCTAATGAGTTCCCCTAGCTCTTTTTCTACGAAACGACCCCTGCCCAAGACAGCTAAGGTCAGACAAACCACCCACTATTCCTTCCCTCAAACAGTAGAAAGAGTAGAAATGTGTCATTTCCCACAGGCCGTGACTAATGAGTAGTGGAGGGGGGGGGGGAAGAGAGTGTCCGTTTCTTTCTCCAGGGTTAAACAGCACCCGGTCCACCTGAGGGGAATTCATTCTCTATAGATTCCATAGCACACAATTATAAGTCTAGGTCTGCTGGCATGAGGCAAAGAGGAACCACAAGGGTGCCTTTGACGAATGCCCACGCTGTCCCTGGGCAATTATGCTCACCTCAACCAGGTCCCAGAAATACACTTTGCCATCCTCAGAGCAGCTTCCAATATGCGTGTCTCTCTCACTCAGGCAGCAGTCCATCTTGTAGGTGACGTTCTTGTGGCCTGTGTATCTAGAGATATGGGGGGGCAGGGCTATTTTTGGGCAGGAACGCACAGGAACGGAGTTCCGGCTGGCTCCCAAGTTGGCCACGCCCAGCAGGAACTCATTAGCATAATAGGCCACACCCAACAGCAGGAACTCATTAGGATTGGCTACATCAGGGGTGTGTGGCCTAACATGCGAAGGAGTTCCTGCTCCAAAAAAAGGCCCTGGGTTTTGACAACAAACAAGGTAAACAGAATAAGAAGCAAAAGGTGGGTGTGGCTGGATGACCACACTTCTGGTAATACGGGGGTGTGGCCTAATATGCGAATGAGCTGTGCTGTCATGGGTATGGCCTATTATGCTAATGAGTTCCTGCTGGGCTTTTTCTACAAAAAGAGCCCTGGGGGGGGGGGATTCAGATAAGAATGAGAACATTTCTCCCATACAGGCCAGGCCCTCCCCGGCAGCCCATCTGGTACAACCGCGGTTCCCTTGAGTCAAGATACACGGGGAACAACATTAGACCGGAGTCACAATATTTTTATTGGTTTGTTTAGAAAAATTTCATGCCACCTCTTCAGGAACCTGCCAGAGGCGGCTTAGAAGAGTTAAATGGGCGAGCAGTGCAGATCTTTCAGCACTGGATTAATATGATCCTTCTATCCTGCCCTCACAATGACGGGGTTGCTGCATTTATTACTCACTCTCCCAGCATCTCGCCTGTGTCCTTGTCCAACAAGTGTAGCGTGGAGTCCAAACTAGCAGCCAGCATACATTGTCCATCTTTGCTGAAACAAACGCACGTGATGGGACCTGTAGTAATAAGATAGCAGTGCTGGATTCCATCATTTCAAGTGTGTGTGTGTGTGTGTGTGTGTGTGTGTAGGGAGGAGCAAGAGGACGAGTGCTCCTAGGACTGATGGCATTTTGCCCAATGCTAACAATTCCAAAGGAAGACAGACAGGGATAGCAACTTGCAGGGACCAAGTCCGCTGCATTCTGCCCTGCCACTGTCTGGAGTCGATGAAAGACTACAGGGGTCATTTCCTGCAGGAGCGCACAGGAGCGGAGCTCCGGCAGTAAAGAGCCCAGGGGGTGGGCACATGCAAGAAGCCCCACCCCCTGCTCCCAGCAGCCCTCAGTCAGAGCAAGAAGCAGCCAGGAAAGTTGCAGAGCCCCCCTGGTCCAAAACAGTCCAGTGGCACCTTTAAGGCCAAGTTTTATTCAGGTACAAGCTCTCCCTCTGCGAGGACAGATCTGCACGTTCCCCCCCTCCCCAATAGCTAGTAAGCCAAAACAGTCCAGTGGTGCCTTTGTGACACACTTCCGGTGATGTCAGGGGGTGTGGCATATGCCAATGAGTTATGCTAATGAGCTCCTGCACCTCTTTTTCTTTGAAATGACCCCTGGAAAGACATGTGACTGAGGATGAAAGATGTGGCTTCACAGCAACCCTTCAAGCTGGATCTGCACCAAGTCTATTGAACAGAAATGGCCAGTGTCAATTCTACAAAATGGAGAGTCAGAGACGGCTCATAAGAGGTACCCGATTTGCAGACAAAGTCTGGCACACTCACTTCCAACATAGTCTGAGCACAGCTCTCCAGCGCGTAGGTCATAACGTCGGACACGCCCATCTACAGAACTGAGAAAGGAGAGAAAGTCATTGCTAACCAACCAGGGTAGTAAATTCTGTACTGTAAGCCCTCTGATTCTAAAATTACAAATCCTAAATGTTGAGATGGGAAAAAAGGTAAAGGTTCCCTTGCTCGAAAGCCAGTCGAATCTGACTCTGGGGTTGTGGTGCTCATCTCCGTTTCAAAGCCGAAGAGCCAGCGCTGCCCAAAGACGTTTCCGTGGTCATGTGGCCGGCATGACTAAACACCAAGGCGCACGGAGCGCTGTTACCTTCGCACCGAAGTGGTACCTATTTATCTACTTGCAATGTCTTGCTTTCGAACTGCTAGGTTGGCAGGGGCTGGAACTAGAGACGGGAGCTCACTCCGTCATACCCCTGGGTCTCGAACTGCTGAACTACCGACCTTCCACAGTCTGCAGTTCAGCGTCTTAACCACTTGAGCCACCGCAGTTCCTATTTACCTTTAACGCTATAACACTTGTATCCTCTGATTCCTAAGCATTTAATAGAAACTCGCCTGCATAAAAAATAAGCCAAAATTCTCAAATCTGTACACGCTACAGGATTTAAAAGATAATGTTTTGAACGCTGTATTCCAATAGTGGTCATATGGGTCATTCTCATAGCCCACTACAGATGAGCCAAAAAGGTTGGGAGTGCTTGATAGGCTCCATGAGAGTTTGGCTTGAGCTCAGCAGAGCACGGAGTTTGTCTTCTCCAGCTCCAGATACCTCTTCCACCTTACCTCTCTTTATCCTGTAAGGATTTCATGATCTGACACTTTCAGACTGGAGATGCCATCTTTGGCCTCATCAAGTATCTGGATGGAATCTGGTCTGCGTGAACGACAGTCCCAGCAGCGGACACTGGAGTCAATCGATCCTGCCGGACAGCAAACAAGCAAGCAAAAAACCCCAACTAAGCAAAACAAGAAAACCAATTATCTGGAAACGACTGGCAAGAAAAGAAGCAGTCCTTACCTGACAAGATCACAGTCGCCTCTTCACTGAACTGGACACAGTTTACCTTCTGCCCGATAACAGAGAGGAAGAGATTAGGGACAAGTGCTTTCCCAGAGGCTACATAGAAACGTCCTCATCCTGGGAATCAGACTCAAGTGTGCTGTTGAGGATGACCTTTTGTAAAACTTATCTCTTACTCTCCATCTCACTGATCACTTCAACCCCTGCATACTTGTATTATTTTCACAGAGCTCTAGCCTCCAGCATTACTCCCATCCCACAATACTAACACACAGGGCTTTTTTCGTAGAAAAAGCCCAGCAGGAACTCATTAGCATAACAGGCCACACCCAACAGCAGAAACTCATTAGCATATCAGGCCACACCCCATGCCTCCCCTTGGCTTGCCCGGGCGTCCCATGGCTGCGGGGAACCCGGGCAAGCCGGCCCTTGGAAAGGCTAGGAAAGGCACGGGGAGACATTTAAATGCCTCCCTGATTCTTCCAGGGCCCCCCTGGCCCGCCCGCCTCAGAGTCACCGGGGGTGTGTGTCTCGCTCTCCAGGCCTTCACTCTGTAGCCACACATGCACAGAGGTTTTGGCTGTAGTGGGCGTGGCCAACTCTGAAGCCAGCTGGAACTCCGTTCCTGTGCGTTCCTGCCCAAAAATAGCCCTGCTAACACACAAAGTACTCTTGTAGACAACACCGTGTAACTTTTATTTAAATTCACCCTTAACTAGCAAAGCAACTGGTATCTTTTTTGTGCGGGGGAGATGGTCACAGATAGCCCCCGCTCTCTGCACCTGTGTGCTCAGTTTCACTGTCCGAGTCTCTCAGTTTAAGTAGCCTGGTGTCATGATCTGGGCTGTGCCACCAGAGGCCTACTAGGCCCGGGGAGCCTGGCTAGCAGTAGGTGAGGCTGGGCCTAAAACTCCCAGAAGTTCTCGAGAGGTTTTGGAGCCAAAATTGACCAATAGGGAAGAAGAGGGCTGGGGAACAAAAGGGCTGGTGGCAGAGCAGAAGGAAGGCTGCTACAGGGGAGAGACCCTCATCCTGAGGGAAGAGTGAGTAGTGTAAGGCCACTTGAGATAGTGAGCTAGGGACACTATATATTTAGACACGTTAGGGCATTTGATTTCTTTTCACCCACTTACTGTTATTATTCTGCACCTTGTTGTTTGACCTCCTATAAAATAAACCTTTTCCTTGTTGTACTCTGCCTGGTCCTCGCACCTGTTATTCGGCCAAAAGGGAGGTCTGAAGGTCTTGGGAGGGTGCTCTGGGCCTTCTCAAGGGAACCTAAATCCAGAGTGGTGGCAGCGTCAGGTGACACCCCACCTGAGTCGTGACACCTGGCAATCCCACAAACGGTTTAAGTTGTCCTTAAAACTCTCTAAGTCACTAACACAGCCCGCTCTAGCAAGACAGAGTACAGAGCTATTAACCCTCATTGAAAGTCCAAAGGAATTCACTTTATTAAGAATAAGAGTGGAGACATTTCCCTGAAACCCAAAAAGGACAGAACATATCTTACCCCTGCATGGCCACGGAACTTGCGAATCACCTGTCCCGTTGCCACATCCCATAGCACAACCGTCTTGTCTGATCCGCATGAGCAAAGCTGGCTGTTGTCAAATGACCTATGGGAGAAAAGAAACAGATGAGGTATAACGGCAGCTACAGAAATGCCATTGCTTGGGCTTCCACATCTCCTACTCTAATTCAAGGGATGTCAATTCCGAGGGCTCTCTCCATTGAACTGAGAGAGCCCAGAATTCAGCAGTGGGTGCAGAATTCTGACAGAGACACTTAGATTCCATTTTTTAAAGTCACAAAAGTAGGAAAAATAGATTTGAATGTGTATACAGAGGGGCCCACAGAGGGAAGAGAACAGTTCTAACAAATGTGTCTTCCTCTCCCCCAGCGCTTACCCTGCTGCATCCAGGACCTCATAGCCATGGCCACTGTATGTCTTGAGGAGAGTCTCTTTGTGGGGGTTCCAGAGCTTGAGTGACTTGTCACTGCCACAAGTGAGACAGTAATTCCCGTCCACTTGGGGAAAAAGAGAAGAAGAAAGGCTAAGAATCACCACACTACAGTTGTATCGAGCTACTGAGTACAATTTAAGTTCAAAACCAGATTTATTGTTTAAGTTAAACAAGCAAAACAAAACAAATGCAGCATCACTTAGTAAAATAAACTAGGCCCAGGTCAAACCTCCTCCTTTCTACTTCCTGATTTCTGTGCTACCAGGCCTATATCTCCCAACAAGCAGTGCTTCCACGGCTGTTATTACTAAGAACACCACAAGTCATGTTCCAGCCTGTGACATTATCCATTTGAGTTACACTGACTGCACCATTCACATGCAGTCAAAAAAAAAATTCTCAGCACCTCCCCACACCCACTGCAATAACTTTCTTGGGCCCCATTCACACGGAGCATTTGCCGCGCTAAAGAGACGGATGATAGGCGGATTTTCCGGGCGAGATCACACCGCAACATCTGGGAAGCGTAGTGCTCCCATGGCTTCCCGCCGAAGATGCGCATTAAAAAACTAGTACCTCCAAGGTACTAGTAAATGTCTGCCACAGGCTGCCTCCAGATGCCCGTGGTATGATCGCGCCGGTGCATGGCATTCCCCTCCGGTCCCTTGTTTACCCGCCGGCGCCGAGGGAAGGCCCCGTGGTGTGCCGCTGGTGCGTCTGAGCACGTAATCGCGGATCAAACTGCGCCGGGGCAATTAGCCACCCCTCCCCCCCGTGATATCCGGCCCGGGTGACCGGGGCCTTGATCTAACAAATCACTAAAAAAAAAACCTGGGGCCATGTCACACAATAGATCCCAGTTTCCTTGTAGATCATAAAACAAGGGCTCTCTTTCCCAGCGTCTTTAGCCCTAATAATTATGTACCAATGTCCACTGTGCAGGATTGAGGATGCACTCACCATTGAACCTTACAGCTCTGACAGCTCCCTGTTTACATTGCAATGTGCCCAGCAGTTTTGTAGGCAGCTCAGGTTTCTTTAGTTTTGGCTCTGGAAAAGCCATGATGAAGAAAAGCAACTTGCTTCACACATATGCTGTGAGTGATGCTCCCATACATTTGATGACACAGCAACGTCCACTGCAAAGTTTCATGCACCAGGAATATCCCAGACTGGATTGAAGGCTTAGGAATGTTTTGCTTCTGGTAGTTTTTTCATCTTGGAACACCACAGGGCTAGAAATAACACAGGGACAGAAATAAATCCTCTGCTCTAAACCCAACAAAGCTACAATTTCCCTTACAATGGTAATTAGAACTAGAGACAGTGCATCACTAGAAAGCAAAATCGGCAAAGGAGTGCCCACTCTAGATTACTTTATGTTGCCTTAATATCTGGTCAGTCGACTAGATCCTCTTTCCACCGTTCCGCTCCAAACTAGTTAACAACATTTTTGTAGCATAAACCACTTGTACATATCTAGGACTTTGTATATTTTCGAAAAACCCCTAAACCCCCCCCCCCCCCAATTTTCTTAAGGTCTCTCAATCTACAGCCAGTTGAGGCCAACTCTGGCCCTGGTCACAGGAGCGGGAAAATCCACAGTGGAAGGGAGGCATTTTAACGCCGGATCCAAAAGATGTGCGGTAACGCGATCATACGGTTCCCCAAGGTGCCGCTCATATGGCGATAGCCAGTGATCACATGGCGATGTTGAAGCGCATCAAAGGCCAGGAAGAACCGGCATGGTGCAATCAGACATGCTACGGGACACATGTGCGTGCTGCCGCGATCCTACGCTTGCCTGCAACCAGTGTTCCCTCTCAGCTGAGTTAGTGTGAGCTAGCTCACAGTTTTTTAGCCTCTGGCTCTCACATTTTTGTCTTAGCCCAGGAAGGGATGGCTCCAGAGCAGACTAATTTAGACAGTGGGCAAATCGCTCGCTCACAGCTTTAATGCTGGCAGCTCACAAAGTAGAATTTTTGCTCACCAGACTCCACAGCTTAGAGGGAGCATTGCCTGCGACCTGCGTTTTCCGGTTGCCACTACCCTTTTGCTGTTACTTTTTAAATCCGCTTCTTCGGGCCGATGGTACGGGTTGGTGACGGGTGCGCTACGCTTCCCAGATGTTGCCGTATGATCGCACCCGTTTGATGCGCCCTCAACCCGTCCGTTAGGCGGGGCAAATCCTCCCGTGTGACCGGGGCCCCCATTAGGGTTGCCAAATCTGGTTTGGAAAATACCTGGAGACTTTGGGGGTGGAGCCAGGAGAGGGCGGGGTTTGGGGAGGGGAGGGGCCTCAGCCTGGTACAGTGCCATAGAGTCTCCCCTTCAAAGCAGCCATTTTCTCCAGGGGAGCTGATCTCCGTCAGCTGGAGATCAGTGGTAAAAGCGGGAGATCCCCAGGCCCCACCTGGAGGCTGGCAACCCTAGCCCCCATTGCCTTTTTACAGAGATTTCCCAACAGACCCAAGTCCCATTTAACAGGGATTGCGAACCTTACCTAAAACCTCTCCCTATAGGTTTCTTAACCCTTTAATGCCTACTGCAAGCCGGATCAAAACAACAAGGACGAAAATGGACAAGAAAAGCACAAAGTCCGTCCTCATATTGGCTCCCCGGAGCGCGTAGCTACCGGGCGCGGCGGCTTTAGTTCCGCTTGTTCTCCTCCGCGGGTCTCTTCTCCCCAACCCCTTCGCCTTCCAGTAGAGCAAAGGCTGATATTCCCCAAGAAAAGAGAGTTCCGCGAAGTTACCTGAATCAGTACGGAGGAGGACGCGAAATAAAACAGGAGCCAGTGTTCCCTCTAAGCTGAGTTAGTGTGAGCTGGCTCACAGTTTTTTAGCCTCGGGCTCAGATTTTTGTCTCAGCTCAGGAAGGAGGGCTCCAGAGCAAACTGATTCATGCAGCAGCCAAATGGCTCGCTCACAATTTTAATGCCAGGAGCTCACCAAGTAGAAGTTTTGCTCACAGGATTCAACAGTTTAGAGGGAGCCTTGAACAGGACCCACCTGAGCGTCCGTCGGTCAGAGTTCGCCGCCCTCTTTCCGGAACCAAAGATCTCGAGCACGGCGGTGTTACTGCATTTGTTGCCCCCCATCTACGCCCATCGCGCTGAAAGGAAGCGGAAGTCGGAGAGGCTACCTGGAGTCGGCTGGGGACAGGTCGCGATGTCCGGCAACAACGTGGCGGACCCGCGGCGGCCTAATCGCGTGCTCAGGTCAGCCATGGGTATGATGGAGGCAGCGCCCCGGCAGGGGCATGAGAGGACCCGGGCAGCTGGGAAAGGAGGCCGTGTCGCGTGGAAGGGTTGCACTGGGTTACGACAGGGGGGCGCTGAGGTTCACGGGAGTCCCTTTGAAGAGGGCGGGGGGGAGGCGATGAGAGATCACCATGGCAACGAATGAGGAAGGGCGGAGGAAGGGGGCCAGAGAAGTTTACCTTGTCAACAGGAAGATAGACAGAGCAGGGACACGTCTTGTGGGAAAGGGGGGATATAGAAGAAGAGATTGCATTTGTACCCCGCCCTTCACTACCCAAGGGAGTCTCAGAGCGGCTTGCAAACTCCTTTCCCTTCCCCTCCCTACAACAGACACCCTGTGAGGTGGGTGGGGCTGAGAGAGCTCTTGACAGAAACTGCTCTTTTTCAAGGACAGCTCTGAGAGAACTTGTGACTGACCCAAGGTCACACCAGCAGCCGCAAGTGGAGGAGTGGGGAGAATCAAACCCGGTTCTCCCAGATTAGAGTCTGCGCTCCTAACCACGACACCAAACTGGCTCTCCTGTGTGTGGCAGTTTCTCCCAGGTTCCTTGACCTCTGCCCCACATTGTGTGAGCCTTCCCCCCCCCTTCACTCAGAGTCTCAGAGCAGCTTACAAACTCCTTTCCCTTCCCCTCCCCACAACAGACGCCCTGTGAGGCGGGTGGGGCTGAGAGAGCTCTGACAGAAACGGCTCTTTTTCAAGGACAGCTCTGAGAGAACTTGTGACTGACCCAAGGTCATCCAGCCGGCTGCATGTGGAGGAGTGGGGAATCAAACCCGGTTCTCCCAGATTACAGTCCGCGCACTTCACCACTACACCAAACTGGGCAAAAAGCGACGTGAGTCTGAGTGACTTATCTTCACGAACTAGTCTCAGTTCAAAGGCAATAGTGCTGTCCAGTCCATGCTATATAGGAGGAGGGAGTGGGTGTAGGTGTTGTTGCTGGTGGGTGCTGTCAGTCAAGGGATCTGTGCCCTTCGGGACTGGAAAGTAGATCTGTACATTTGACTTTGACTTTTTTAAAAAAAAAATAGCTTAACAAGCACGGACAGCTTCAAGAGGGAACTGGATAAACATATGGAGCAGAGGTCCATCAGTGGCTGTTAGCCACAAGATATAGATAGGAACTCACAAGCTGGGGCAGGTGATGCTCTGTATTCTTGGTGCTTTGGGGGGGCAACAGTGGGTGGGCTTCTAGTGTCCTGGCCCCACTGGTGGACCCCCTGATGGCACCTGGTATTTTTGGCCACTGTGTGACACAGAGTGTTGGACTGGATGGGCCATTGGCCTGATCCAACATTGGCTTCTCTTATGTTCTTATGTAAAGTGCTAGGTTTTTGCTATATTAGGAGGAGGTCTTGATTAGTAGAATCTCTTAAAAAGCACAAAACGATGTGAGTGTTCCAATGACGTAAGGTAGCTCAAGAAGTCAGAACCTTTACAGCATTGCCAGAGCCGGCTCTAATGCTCGTTACATCACAGACATGAAGAGGCGTGGCAGTGTTTGCATCATCACACTTCACACACAGAGAGGTGTACTTTTATAGTCCATTGGGGGAGCTGACTTGTTGTGACAAAATAATGTCATCTGAGAATGTAGAAAATTGTTTTTATGTATTTCTATATTAGGCCCACTACCTTCAGCGGAGATATCTAGATCCGTCTTCAGTACTAGTTGTGCTTCAAGTGTCCTTCATGTGAAAGCCAGTTGGGCTTTTGTCACTATGGCTGCGGTCACACAGGCAGGAAAATGCGGGGGGGAAATGTGGCTGTTTGCCCCGGGGCTAAATAATGCGCAGTTGCGCGAGCAGACCTACCGTGGAGGTCCCATGGTAGGGGGGAGGTGCCGATCATTCCACAGTCCTGCGGCGTGGCAAAGAAGCGGGGCGCAGGGCAAACGGGGTTGTTGTTGTTTTTTAAACTGAAGTGTGCGCATGCTCCGTTGGGTGCTTGTGCGCATCCGTGGAGACTTGGGGGGGGGGGAAACCTTTTTGCGAGGGGACATGGGCGGGCGCCGGAACTACCACCGGAACGCGATCAGACGCCCGCCCTTGCCCTGCGGTTTCTGGAAACTTTTTTACCGCGCATCTTCGGCGGGAAGCCTCGGGTTCGCCACGGGAGCTCTACACTTCCCAGATGTGGCGGTGTGATCGCGCCTGGAAAATCCGCCTATCTTCTGTCTCTGCAGCATGGCTAATGCTTCGTGTGACCGCAGCCTAAAAAATCCAACATGGATGTGACCACTAATTCAAGGCCCTATTGATTTCAGTAGCTGTGAACAACTTCCTACTAGTCGCATCCTTGATTTGTTTCTTGAATGCACATGAGGGAGCAGCAGAGTGTATGATATGTATATTCCCCTTATATAGTGTCTATTTTTCACTATAATAGGTATGTATTAAAATGTAACAAAACAGAAAACAGTAACACTGATGGTTTTAGGTCTGCAAAATAAGCCAGGTAATGATGAAAGTAAAGAAACAAGATTAAAATAATTTTGTTCAAGTAAATACTAACCTCCATTGAGTGGAATTGTTGCCCTGTAAAATAGTCTTTTTGGAGCTGCGGTGGCTCAAGTGGTTAAGACGCTGAACTGCAGGCTGTGGAAGGTCAGTAGTTCAGCAGTTCAAGACCCGGGTGCTGCAAGACGGGGTGAGCTCCTGTCTCTAGTTCCAGCTCCTGCCAACCTAGCAGTTCGAAAGCAAGAAATTGCAAGTAGATAAATAGGTACCACTTCGGTGGGAAGGTAACAGCGTTCCGTAACCCTAGAGTCGGATTCGACTGGCTTTCGAGCAAGGGAACCTTTACCTAAAATAGTCTTTGCTCCTAATTCCTTTACTTATTGGCAAAATGAGGGCACATACCGTAACCTGCTTGATGTTCTTTAAAAGTTTGTCAGTGTAACACAGTGTTAATAGGTTTGCAAAAGAAACAAAAACTGTACTTAAGTATTCTTACACATTGTTTTATAAATGTTTACAAGGTTCCACCTTATGTATTCAACTACTGTTCAGAAGAAGATACAGACATCGAAACGATACATTACATTCCGGAGAGGATCGTCAATAATTGTTTCATTATTCAGCTATTGAATGTATTATACTATTGATGAATTGACCTTGCACTGATAATAATTCTGTTTCATAGACATTCTTTAGCATCTGTGTTTACAGTTTTTGTTTCTTTTGCAAACCTAGTTCCACAACTGTAACCCACTCTTGTTATATTAACATAGTGTTAAAGCAGGAGCAGTGTTCCTGTTATTTGTGGTTTTCAGCTGAACAGTTAGATAAACGGCTAAGACATATTCTGTCTAGCCAAGAATAATAAAATGGATTGGATTTGGTAATTAACAGTGATTTTTCTGTTGTTTGTATATTGTCCTTTTCACTGTAAAATCTATGATAGGAGAGGCTGTGGAGAGATACTGAACAGGGGGGTAGAAACATATAGGGACTGAGATATTACCTGGCTGTGCACTTGGATGGCTTTAGTATGCTCTGGGGTAAAGGAACAAATTGCACTAGCTAGCCAGGCTGTATTAACTTCATCCCTTCCCTTATTTATTTATATACTTAATTTTATACCTCACCTTTCTCCCCAATGGGGTCTCAGAGTGCCTTATATCATTCTCCATTTTACCCTGACCATGACCCTGTGAGATAGATTAGGTTGAGAGTGCATGACTAGCCCAACGTCACCCAGCAAATTTCTATGGAAGAGTGGGGATGTGAACTTTGGTCTCCCAGATATTAGTCCAGTCCTCTAACCACTGTACCACACTGACCATCTTGCAACTAGGATGAAGAATCTTTCTCCCTCAAAAGGCTATGTCCCAACTGATGAATGGATGGCAGGGGGGGGGGGGGAGATGTGCACATCTTTATGCAGACATAGATGCTTGCTCCTTTGTATGCAAATCCTCCTCCATCTGCATCATTTTAGTTCAGCTGTGTACAACTGTAAAGATGTATGGGGGAGAGATGGGCCCTTTGTATTGTTTCATATTACTTTACTGCATAGAAAAATCCGATGTGGTCTTTGGGCCTATGTTTTGCCACTCTTAAAAATTGCTGGCTTCTGATAAGTTTGTCTACATGTGTCTCATGTTGAGATGCCTACCAGTCATTCAAAACACAATTCTGTGTACTTTCTTAATCTCAAAACTGCCCATAAGCCTTTAGAAATAACTCACAGATTTCATAGTTTGGGGGCATTGACTTGCTATACAACTGCTTGAATGACTTGTAAGAACTGGACGTCCAAATGTGGGGTTGAATTCTGCCCCGCTTTTTTTTTTGCCCTTTTAGAAACAAGGCCTCTTCTTGGCTTAAGCAAATGGCTTCCCTTTTATTTATTTTTATTTATTATATTTATAACCCGCTGTGGTACATTTTTTTTAAGTATAAGGAAGATGTTTAAAATGTTTCAAGAGCAGTGAAGAGTACCTCTTGTGAGAGGGTGGTATTGGAGGTGTTGGTACTGCTTAGACACTGGGACAAGCATGCTGTGAATGTTTTTTTTTTGTCAAGAAACTTTTATTTTTTCTTAATATATTTCACATAGTCAAAAACAATTTCTTGAAATCAGTTTCCCAACTCCCTCCCACCTCTCCAATGGCTTCCCGCAATGCGTTTCCCCTGTGGTCCAAAAGTCATATACATTCCAAGATAACAATCTTATACTTAATATTGTTCTAAACAAAGTAAATTTCTTTTTACATCCCAGTTTTTTTCTAGATATATCTTGAAGTCATCCCATTCCTCAAAAAATTCTTGGTCTTCTTAGTTGTTTAATTTTCTTGTTATTTTGTCCATTTCTGCCATGAACAGAACTTTTTGTATCCAATCTTCTATTTCTGGTATTTTCTCTTGCTTCCAACATTGTGCATAAACCATCCTCGCAGTTGTTATTAAATACCAGAATAGAGTCTTTTTCTTCATGTTTAATTCTTCCATTCTAAGTCCTAAAAGCAGAATCTCAGGTGCCTTTTTAAAGGAAAATTTTAGTATTTTTTGCATTTCTCCATGGACTTTAGTCCAAAAGTCTATAGCTTTGTCACAAGTCCACCACATATGATAGAATGAGCCCTCATGTTTCTTACATTTCCAACATTTACTAGACATATTCTGGTTCATGTTTGCTATTTTCTTAGGTGTCATGTACCATCTATACTAGTATGCTGTGAATGTTGACCTGTAATGGCATGAATGTGCAGCAGGGAAGTGTAAAATTTGTAATCTCGATTCAGTCTTGATATTGCTGTGGATAAAGCTAATTTTTTTATTTTCAAGCATAATAACATGTTTTCCTTCTGTCATAATGAGTGATTCTTCAACTTATAGGTACAAGCCTCCATCTACAGAGAACAACCCTACCTTGGAAGACCCTACACCAGACTACATGAATCTCCTGGGAATGATTTTCAGTATGTGTGGTTTAATGCTGAAGGTAAGCAGTCGGCCATTAGTCCTTTGACATCATGGTATCAAGGATACTGATCACATAGATCATAAACAATATTTCAGCTGCTCATTACTGTATAACGAATACATTTGCTATGACATGTTAGTGAACTTTCCAGCAATTAGAATAAAGGCATGGAATACAAAAAATATATATTAAAAATTGTACGTTTTAATGGCTTTGGAAGAAGACCAGAATGATAGCACAAGGCAGTCTAATTCGGAATAGATGGAACAGTTAAAGGAAGCTCTCTGAACTGAATGGCCACCATGTACCTCTCCTGCAGTAGGTAAAACAGTTGTTTGGAACACTATCATCAGTTTTGTTCTGTGTAAGGAGGTGCAATTAGAAATCAAGACCCTTGCATCAGAGTGCGTTTCTTTTCTTCTAGATAAGGTCTCTCTTAGAAGGGCATGAACTAAAATCAATAAGTGAATCTTTGAATAACGATGTGAATTAATAACTGCAGTACAGTTTCAATAAGATTCCTCTGTAATTTCCAGAGTAAAGTATTCCTAAAGTATATATTTAAAATTTGATAGGAATCACAGTCCATGTTGGTGTATTGACTTAGCGTGCGTGGCACCCCAGGTTCAAGTCCTGCATGGAGCTAGTTACAGGGCAGCCCTGGAAGGAATCCCAAATATAGCTGAGATTGTGCACCGTCAGACTCAGTCACTGAGGGAAGTCTTCTCCTGCAGACTGGCTGTCTCAGACTTCAAGGACTTTGCTTAGCTTCTTCTCGTGTAGACATTTCTCTGCTGCATTCTGTTCGCTCGCTCCTATTCATCCCAGCACCCCTTGTGGAGCTTGTGCTGAGAAGCGTTGCTATCCTAAATGTTTCACATCCTGGCTACAGGGTTGTACTCCTAGGCGGCAGTCCTAAGCAGAAGTAAGTCCCGTTTTATTCAGTAGGGCTTACTCCCGGGAAAGGGCTTTTAGGATCGCGGCCTTGATCACTTTTTGAAAAACACCTAAGGTAAAAAAAATGGCCAGCTCTTAGTAACTCCAAATGTTCAAACGTAACTGTGATGACCTCTTATCTGGGGAGGTCTAGTTTTACTTTAAAAGTTCTTATGGTTTATTTTTCTTTGGGTATTCCGGCTGCCACCAGGGAAATTTAGGCTTTCCCACACCTTTTCTATAAGATTTTCCTCTCTGGGTAGGTATTGTGACCCAGGGTCTGGGCTTTCGAAGGACCATGTGTTTCCTGAGGAATTTCATTCAGAACTGTTATCTTAAATAAAAGTAGATTTATTTGATGTTCCCACACTCTTCCCTCTTATTGACAGGGATCAGGGCATGTCACTTTGTAACAATATTTTCCTTAGACCATATATGGTTACTGTTTCTTTATGCTTTAACTTTTCATACCACACACAAGACTTCTCTCTCTCAGACCTTAAAACGAACAAACTGCTTAACTCTTTTACTAGACAGAACTTATAACAACTGCTTTAACACATCACTCTCTTCTGACAGACTCTGTTCAATTCTCTTTTTCAACTCTCATAACTCTAACAGACACCCTTCAACTGACACTCTTGACTGACATATCTTATCCTCCCTCCCCCTCTCTGTCAATCACCAATCACACCACATGCCTGTCCAGCATTCTACATTATCATCACACAGCCATGCAAACCACTTTTAAAGACACAAACACACAAAACATGAAATCGTTACAGTAACTATTATGGTGTCTGGATAAACCCTTCCTTAAGGATTGTCTGCAGTAACTACCACTCTTCTCATCGCCATAGAGGTTAGAATTAAATGATGCTAAGGGCAGTATAGGAGCTGCTGTATCCAGTTTAATATCAAAGTGTGCCAAAAAGGTGACCTCCTGTGACTACATAGAGACATATTATAGAAAAGCATTCAACCCCAGCTGCTCTTTATTTAAAGTAAGACTCCGTAAAAATGCATTTTGTATCTTAGCCATCGCAAATAATTAAAACAAGCAGAGGACCACGTGGACTTGGCTGTGTGTGTCTCATTTCCCCCTCCCACTCTGTTTAAGAACATAAGAGAAGCCAATGTTGGATCAGGCCAAAGGCCCATCCGGTCCAACACTCTGTGTCACACAGTGGCCAGAAATACCAGGTGCCACCAGGAGGCCCAGCAGTGGGGCCAGGACACCAGAAGCCCTCCCACTGTTGCCCCCCCCCAAGCACCAAGAAGACAGAGCATCCCTTGCCCCAGACTGAGAGTTCCTATAAGAACACAAGAGAAGCCAATGTTGGATCAGGCCAAAGGCCCATCCAGTCCAACACTCTGTGTCACACAGTGGCCAGAAATACCAGGTGCCATCAGGAGGTCCACCAGTGGGGCCAGGACACTAGAAGCCCTCCCACTGTTGCCCCCCCCCCCAAGCACCAAGAATACAGAGCATCAGTTGCCCCAGACTGAGAGTTCCTATTTATACCTTGTGGCTAATAGCCACGGATGGACCTCTGTTCCATATCTATATATCTAATAGCCAAGTTGTCCCCTCCGTGTGGATATCTAAATCTGCACATCAGGGGCACTTGGGGGGCAGAGATATTTTCCTGCACACTTGGAGCAGTCCTAACCGGGGGGGGGGGGGGGAGATCGGCGGGCCCGGGGGCTGGGAGGCTCTCAGGCCTCATCACCAGTACCCGGGGGGGAGATCAGTGGGCTTGGTGGCTGGAAGGCACTCAAGCCTCGCTGCTGGTGCCCGAGGGGGGGGAAGATCAGTGGGGGGGAGAGCGGCAGGCCCGTAGCTGGGAGGCACCTTGCCGCCGAGGCCCAGGGGTGGGGAAGAAGGCTTACCTGTGGAGCTGCTTCTGCAGGCCGGGAGCCTTTAGGAATACTCCCCCCTGCGAGTATCGCGGGTCCCGCTTCTTGTGCTTATCTAATTCCCTCTTGAAGCCACCCATGCTTGTTGCCACCGCCACCTCCTGTGGCAGTGAATTCCATGTGTTAATCACTCTTTGGGTGAAGAAGGACCTCCTTTTATCCGTTCTAACCCAACCGCTCAGCAATTTCATGGAGTGCCCACGAGTGCTTGTATTGTGAGAAAGGGAAAAAAGTACCTCTTTCTCCACCTGCTCTATCCCATGCATAATCTTAGAAACCTCGATCATGTCACCCCCTCAGTCAGCGTTTCTCCAAGCTAAAGAGCCCCAAGCGCTTTAACCTTTCCTCATAGGGAAAGTGTTCCAACCCTTTTATCATTCGGGTTGCCCTTTTCTGCACTTTCCCCAAAGCTATAATATCCTTTTTAAGGTGTGGTGACCTTTCTTCATTCCCTTCCCTGAAAACCCTGTCCTGTCCTCCTTTTCTGCCTCTTTCTTCCCTTTTCACCCACTACTGAACCGATCTTTGTCCCTCCCGCACACACCTGTCTTCAGTTTTCCCTCCTTCCCTACGCCAGGTAGCCTCTCATAAGAACATAAGAGACGCCAATGTTGGATCAGGCCAAAGGCACATCCAGTCCAACACTCTGTGTCACACAGGGGCCAGAAATACCAGGTGCCACCAGGAGGTCCAGCAGTGGGGCCAGGACACTAGAAGCCCTCCCACTGTTGACCCCCCCCAAGCACCAAGAAGACAGAGCATCCCCCCCCCCAGAGCCCCTACCTATACCTTGTGGCTAATAGCCACTGATGGACCTCTGCTCCATATGCTTATCTAATTCCCCTTCGAAGCCGTCCATGCTTGTAGCCGCCATGCTTGTAGCCTCTCCCTGGGAAACGAACGTCTGGCCAAGTTGCATGGTGTGGGCAGCTGGGCCAGGCCCAATTGTGTGATGGGGAACCCGCAAGGCCTTTCAAGTGGTACCTCAGTTTCCCCTGCACAGCACGGTTTCTTCTTTCTCTTCCTCCAGGCAGCCTCCAAATGCTCACCCTCCCTTGCTTCCTTCTCTCCTGCCCCCTCACCGACCAACCTTTCTCTCCCCCCCCCCCATCTTCAGCTATATTTATTTACTACATTCATACCTCTTTCTCCCCACGACGGCCCCAAAACAGCTTACATCATCCTCTTCCGTTTTATCTGTACAACAACCCTGTGATGTAGCTGAGGCTGAGGGTGCGTGACTGGTCCGAGGTCACACAGCAGGCTTCCGTGGCAGAGTGGGGATTCAAATCAGGTTCCCCCCTTCCTAATCTGACACACTGACCATTAGCTCACTCTGGTTTTCACGGGGTGGCCGCTGTTGAACAGTAGCAAGCAGCCGGGTCTGGGTGAGTCATGCACATTGTGTGGTAGCAGTTTGCCTGGTGGCTGTGGCCAGGCCTGCCCCCCACGAGTCCTTCCTAAAAAGTCAAACAGCCCTGGAAGGGGCCTCCTCCCCATGCCTTTTACTGACCAAAACCAAGGCTTGAACTAACAGTGCTGTTGTGGTTGTCCAGCATTGGCCACAGAGGGCATTTGTTTTTGCAAGCAGTTATTTATTTAAAGGTTCTATTATTGGTTTTTGTTTTTAAAAAACCCGTGTTTTTGTTTTGTTTTTTAGATTTCCGGGTTTTTTGCAAACTTGGGGCTTTTTCAGGTTTATAGAAAAATATGTCCTGATTGTTCATGGCTCCTGTCTTCAGATTTAAATAGTCACAGATGTGGTCATGTTGAAAATTAGATATATTGATACCTATTTGAATTTGTGCGTTACGACATGAACATCCCTGTTGGCATTGGTTTTTCTGACATAAATGAGATTGCAAAAGCATACAGTGGCATGCTTCTTTCCCCTTGCGTTCTCAAGTCACTGTAAGCTTTACTTGTGCTATTTGTGAACACATTGAACACCCCAGGTTCAGTGCCCAGGGATCATGTGTTCATCTTACCATTTGAGAGATATGAGGGTGTACCTGGTTTGTTGCTGTAAGTCGGAAGTGACAATAGCACAGAGCACACGTACAATTTTCTAAAGTCCAAGTATATTTTATCATTTGCGTGACCACTGAGTTTAAGTGAGCTTGGTCTAGCAAAACTATCCCTCTTTAAAACTGAAGCCAGTTCCCGTCCTCACTAGATAAGCAAGGCTGAGAGTTTTTGATGGGTTTATACCTGTGCTGGAGACGAGCTGATGCTAAATCCTTGTGATTCTATTGAGGGTTTCTGAGAGTTTATCCCATGGGTTTTTGCAGCTCAAGTGGTGTGCGTGGATTGCTGTCTACTGCTCATTTATAAGCTTTGCCAACTCGAGGAGCTCGGAAGACACCAAACAGATGATGAGCAGCTTCATGTGAGACAACTATTCGCTTCTTTCACCATCTTATCGATTCCTAGCTAAATTTCTCATCACCGCTACTGAGTAAAGAGAAGGTGTTATCTTTCATAAATACCTAAGGGAGTTGAAACCATGTAAAAACGCAGTGTCCGTTTGGCCGTCGGCTCTAAATTTTCTTTTTGAAGCGACTGTAAAACATGAGGTACCCAGGGGTCATTTCGTAGAAAAAGAGGTGCAGGAGCTCATTGGCATAACTCATTAGCATAACTTATTTGCATATGCCACACCCCCTGACATCACCGGAAGTGTTTCAGAAGGCAGCACCCACCGCTCAGGCTCCAATGGACTGTTTTGGATTGCCAGCTCCTGTGCGCTCCTGCAGGAAATGACCCCTGGAGGTACCCTTCTGCTACCTTCCATATGCAGGTGTGCCGGGAAGCCCTTATGTAGTCTACTATTCTGTGCAACCGCATTCTCACTGCAAAGAATATTTATTTCTGCTTCCTTTTGTGTAGGTCATGCTGTGCCAACTTGAGCCACGCCCCCCCCCTTGACAATTCGGCCTCCCTCCTCCTGTGGCACCTTTCATCTCTTACTCACAATGGTCTTCCCTCCTTAGGGGAGCAGTATATACCACTTTCATAAGAGAAGAATGACCAAAGTGGAAGCCAAGAAATTGACTGTTCAGTATGTAACATGTAGCAGGGGTCATTTCGTAGAAAAAGAGGTGCAGGAGCTCATTAGCATAACTAATTAGCTTAACTTATTTGCATATACCACACCCCTGGCATCACCAGAAGTGTGTCAGAAGGCAACACCCACCGTTCAGGCTCCACTGGACTGTTTTGGATTGCTAGCTATTGGGGTGGGGGGGACGTGCAGATCTGTCCTCACAGAGGAGGGAGAGCTTCTACCTGAATAAAACTTGGTCTTAAAGGTGCCACTGGACTGTTTTGGACTGGGGGGCTGGGGGGAGCTGTGCAACTCACCTGGCTGCTTCTTGCTCTGACTGAGGGCTGCTGGG